AAGATGCACTGGTGTCCTACTCTAATGGATGCTGAAGAATTTACCACCTGTGAAGGGGTTTAGATCACCTCGAGAATTTGGTGGGATCTGAAGTAAAAGCATGAACTGGTTCTTAGCTCTACACATGGCAGGGCAATGTGGTGATAAGGAACAAACTTCCCCTGGGTTCATTCAGTTCTGATAATGGCTCAAGACGTCTCTCTACCTTTTCTTTCTAAAGGCTTTGATTTATTGGATTAACAAAGTTATAAATATAGGCTTTTCTCGGTTGTGACAAAAGCAGAGATGCATATAGTTGCATATATGAAAGTTAATAAACGATCTCATAATTTCAAATACCAGAACAGCAGTTCTTCACGGATTTTGGAGGAAAACTGCGGAATAAAATCTGTTACTTTATCCAAAAAGACCCAGGCTGCGTGTTCCCCTCGCCCAGCCCGGCTCTCCCGCTCCCTGCACACAGCGTGACTCGCACTAGGTGGCAGCGTGCGTCTTTCTCTCGGGTAGCCTTCGTATTGCTCACGTTCTCATCTAAGCCCCAACTTAAATGATTCCAAAATAAAGGGAGATCCAAGTAGGCGAACATGTCATCCTTCCTTTGCCACTGTCCTCATGTGTCATCAGCCCCACTGACTTTCTGCTGCCTTGCTTAGCGTCATGGAGGTAAGGCAGACGTCCCGGCAGGGCCCAGACAGGGAACGTGAAAGTCAAGTCTAGGCTGGAGGGCAGCATTATGTCACAGGTAAAATGTAAAAGCACTTAAGGCTTTATGCAAGCTCCCTGCCAGTTCTGGTAATGTTTCAATTAATCTCCAACATTTCCTGCATTAGCAAGACCTCTCTTACTCATCACGAACGTCTGGGAGTGTGATTTCTGCTTTCAGTTCAAATTGAAAGAGACTGATCTGAAACTGGATTGGGCTGGCAATGTTTGTGATTACAGACACTATACAAAATAACCCATCCTGAAACATAGCTACACCTATTTTAAGCACATTGTAACTTGGAGAAAATCTGAGTGCTTTAAATCTTGCACACATGATTATATTTTGGTTTAGAAATTGAACTGCTGTAGTGTCACAGAACATTTTTTACTTATTTTGATAAATTTTAAACAGCTCATTCCAGTTTCTAAAATGAAAAGCCAACAAAACAGCAATAAAATAACAAACCAATCTGTCTTGGCAATGGAAGACTTTTGCTGGAAAAAAATTGCTTTGAATTTATACTTCCTCTGGCAATGGTCTCAATTTAACAAATCCTTCTTCTGATGCTGGAAGGCTGTGATCCCTGTAGCTTTTGGTATCATGAAAGAACCTTGTACAAAAAGATAATCCCATTTTTCTTTTTCAAATTATAAACCACACAGATGAGTGTGGGATGAAGGTGAGTTGTGGGGAATAAAAGACTGTGGAATGATACCAACCATAAGAAAGTGTTTTTTGACAGTAGGGGACAGATGAAGTATTGAAAGGTAATAGTTTTGTAATTTTCTTATAAGGACCATAACAAGCAGAGGCTGACACACATTTGAGGTTGTGTATTACAAATACTAAAATTGTTGATAAGCATCACTCCAAGAAATGGAGAATTACCCACGAAATTAACCTCTTGCTCCTTCACTGAAGAGTGATGCACAACCATCTCTCCCTGTGCTTGGGGCGAGCTGTTCAGTTTTCCTCTGTTTCCCCATCTGTGAAAATCAGAAAGCAGCCTTTTCCTACATCCCCTATAACAGGGATGATTGGTGCGAGGAAAGCCCAAGAGGAGAGATGTTTCTTTAGCTCAATGAAGTCAACAATAAAACACTCACTGACTTCAGGATTTCATGCATGGTTTTTTTTTTTAAGTCTTACTCCTGGCATCAAGATTTCCCTCTTAAGCCTTATGCCATTCTGACACAGTGCACTAGAGGGGAAGCAGTCTGAGTAGAAGCAGCTAGCGAGGAAAAGGCATTTATCCTAGTAATGAGCCAAAGCACTGAGCACATCAGTCCAAGACAGACAATTTCAGTCAGGAAAAAACAACTGCTCTGACGAGACCAGGAATAGGAAACTTATGGTAATAGAGGCTGTGCAAGTACTGGTAGCCTGTTTTCTACCTTGCTCACCTTTTAAAGGCAGTGGGAAAAAGGCAGAGAGGGAGGAAGGACTGCTTCCTAGGACAAGCTCATTACTCACAGCTTGGAAATACAATCCTACCTCAGGCGCGACAAAGTTGGCCGTGTAGCAGGGAGTCATGAGCAGCCCGTTCTCCGCTCTCAGCTGCTTGGCAAACCCAAAGTCACAGATCCTGATGGAGTCTGGGTTTCCTGACTCATCCATGTAGAGGATGTTACTTGGCTTGAGATCTCGGTGCACCACCTTAACAAGAAAGCAATGAGTAACAAATGAGGAGAGGAGGTCAGGGAGCATCCAGGCTTGGCTGTCATTTCTGGTCTGCTGCTTGAGGTAGGTCAAGAGCTCATGACTAAAATATTTAAGTCTTAGAGAAAAGTTGCTTAAAAGCCTTGGGCAAATGAATAGAAGAAAAAGAAAAAAGGTTAAAGTCTGTTAAAATCAGAAAGAACAAGTTTGACAGCCTCTGCTGGTGTATTAAGACGGAGGCTGCTGCTCTAAGGGGAGACACCTTTCCTGAGGGTGGTCAGAGGGGGTTGCTGTACACACATGTCAGTGTCAGAGTGTTCTGGAACCTGATGGCCTTAAATATTCAGCTAAAAGGTGAAAAATAAACCCCTTCATAGGAGGAAAGTGTGTAAGAGTCTTCTTGTGACTGTCCATGTGAATGGCTCACAGCTGAAGGGAGGGATTATATTTTTTCCACATTTCAAAATGTACTCACAAAAATCCTTTCTATAGGCACACAGCTTCAAGTGGCTGTGTGTTTTACCAGAGATGCTGCATTTCAGTGGTGGGAAAACAACCTTTATTGGTTATAGCAGGGCTGAAAAACTATCATGAAAACATAAAAGACCAAGCACAAAATGCACTTGTTTTAACCATGAAACAGAAAAAGAAGCAAATAATTCGCTAGTCATCCAAACTGCTTGTCCCTGCAAAGTGGAAAAGGAGAGGTTTTCAAACTGCCATATATAAAAAAAGCTTAGATTTTAAATGCCAGCTCTTTAACAGCATGTCAGAAACCTTTCCCATCAGCTGCTCAAACTGCCACTTAGTTTGTAAAGCTGAGCATTTGATTTTCTAGCTATCTGCTGATTCATCTACCCTATTTGCAGTTCTGTCAAAAGATCAGGTACTGCAGTAATGACTGTGATAAAAAGTTAACAACTAATATCTCAACAAGGTACATAAACTTGAAAATCAATGTATTTTGGGGATGAAAGTAACACTTCAACATACTGCAGTTCAGTTGGAAAATGGCTAAAAAGCATTTCACATTGACCCTATTTCACAGGCCAAATGTAGTTATAAATATGGAGAAAGAATTATTTTTTAAAAATTTATTTATAATTCAGAGAAGCAAAATCACAGCTATTTGCTTTTTCTAAGTCAGATTTTAAGAAGGTTGATGCGGGTAGCCAAAAATGCAATGCTTACGCCCTGAGAGTGCAGGTAGTCCACAGTCCTGGTGATGGTGCACAGCACAGCACTGGCCTCTCGCTCTGAGAAACACTTCTGCCGAAGAATGCGGTCCAGGAGCTCACCTCCTCGCATCAGCTCCATCACCAGGTACACGTATTTCCCATCATCATAGACCTGGAAGAGTAATAGAATAAATATATATATTTTGGACCCATTAATTTGGTGAAGGTTGGTCCTTTAATCACAGCGTTGGCTTGAGATGTTGCAAGAAGAAAATGACACCTAATGTTTGGGAAATGGGAAATGTGCTTATTATGCTTAACAACAGAAAAGGCAACTTTATAAAATGACTTATTCATCACTTTTTTCTCATGTCTATAGTGATTTGCTGATTTCTCCACACAGAAATGTAGCTTTGCTGATCTGCTATCGTGTCAGCAGTGTAGACCAAGCTGCTAAAAGCAGCACCACTTCACACAGCCTGAGATGTCTGCTGGCTCTCACCCAAGCCTTCTGCTCAGTAATGTTGTCTATTTCCACTTCTACAGGGTAATACGTGCCATTTCAAATATCAGTATTTCCCTTTGACTCATGATCAGCTAAATGAATTGTATTATATAGCTGTCCAAGACCTGCTTCCAATGATAAAATGTAGTTTATATTTGCAGTTCTGGTGAATATATTGTTGACATCAGCTGCAAGATATATTCACCATCAACATCAACTGCAAGCAGTAAAAGACATTTTTTGTCTAAATTGGAAGACAGCCGTTTCTGTGTCATAATCCTTTATTTGGAATGTGGTAATAGATGGTGTTAAAGTCATCAATGCTAAATGTTTTTGGAAAGGAATAGAAAACCTTTTTTGCACAGATTTTGAGATACTCTTTAATACTTCAGAATTATGTGAGACTTTCCTGATTAGAAATTTTCTATATACTTCTCTAAGGTCTGAACCATAACATACTGGCCACTGACACCAGCAGGATTTTGTTCTGTAAACTCTGAATATGGCATGTGTGGATAATCCTAGGTGAGACTGCAGGCAGCGCAAGTGAAACATCTCTGACTAAAGGTAATTGCTGCATGTAAGCGTAGTGAAGGGCCATCTCCATATGAAATGCTGAAGAAGATATCTTCATGTCTTCTCAGGCTGCTTGAGTAGAAGGTAAATACTCTCTGGCATTAAAACACTATCAAGAGAAACCCTAGCAGCATTGTGAGCTCTCTTCTTCCCAACAAAATAGGTATCACAGGCTGCATGGGACTGGCTGCTGCTCATGAAGGAAGAGCCCCCAGCGGCACCACCATTTGTGCTCAGCAGCTCACTTCAAAACATCCAACTGGGGAGATCTCACTTCTGAATAGTGCTGCAAAACCAAATATATTTTGTTGTTCTCCAGCACTGAGGACCTTTGTTTTTATCTACAGTTGGTTAGACATGGGAGAATGTATAACTTGACCAGTCTTTCCAACTGCTATCCAGGAATTTGTTAAAGTTGTCGTTTTTTTCCCCTTGATTTCAGTGAGTCTGGTTTTAGCTCTAATATTTTACTGGAGAATTCTTCAGATGCAGACTAGTAAGTGAGCCTGATCATAAGGTGAAAATGATTTAATACTGAAGTGCTCAAAGACTACTCACATCCTTAAGAGTGATGATATTTGGATGCTGTCCATATCGCAAGAGGATCTCAATTTCTTCAGAGGGATCTCTCTTGCTCTTATCAATTATCTGGAATACAAGAACCACAGTGTAGTAAGATATGGGCTGGCAGCATTAAGCACAAAACAAACATTTTATGCGATTTAAACAAATAAATATTTAAAATTATTCTATTAATCATTATTCTAGGAGAGGACAGCTCAAACCCTGTGCAATTCAGAGCCACACTGACTATCTGCCAAAGCCAGATGGAGCAATAATTCGTTTAAATTCTGAAGGCGTAGGACCTCTTTTTGATGCCTATAGTTATGTTTGCCTGTAAATAATGGCAGTTACAGGAAGTGTCATTTAGAAACAAAACAACCTAGAGATTTTTAAAATATTGATAGTTTTATAATAACCTCTTTGACATAAAAAAATGGATATGTTTGTAATACTGGCATATGCTTGTATATCTGCTGATAAATGAATAGAAATTACCTGTCAGATGGATTTGTCAGAAATGAAAATGTACAGACATTTACTGTCAGGGGAGATCTGGGTAGAGGCTTTTGATAATCACTTGTTTTTTTGGGCACAGAGCATAGATTTAAAACAGTGTGGTTTACAGGGAAACAACTTTTTAAAAATCTCTTTTGTTAATGAGGATAAATGCCTGGCTACTTTTTGCATGTGGAAAAAACGCTACTAGCAGTTTCTCCTTAGAATAATGTTGTTCTCCCAGTTAAATAGAGACATTCTCAAAAAGCCAATGAAACCCTGATTGAATGACTCCTCGTAAATACAACCACAATGACTGAATGTGTCCCACTCAACCAATAAGCCTAACATATAAAAAGATCCTCAGGGCTTCTTCCTTGGCTAAAGTAATACAGCTTTTGACAAGTTAATGGAATTCCACACATGTGCATCTGTTAGGATCTGCCTGCTTTGAACAAACCAGCAGGATTTACTGCAGCAGGTATTACTACTACTACATTAACTACTACTATCATTATGGTACTGTAGCAAGCCATATATTACAGATTCTTTCCTGTTGTATTTTCCTGTGAAAGGAATTATGCAGAGCTGTGGAAAATTTTAAGCAATTCTTAATAATGTAGGACTATAAATGTACATATATGGCCTAAAATAAAAACAAACCAAAAATGGTCTCAGCTCAGACACAAAACTCAAAATAACATAACAACATATAACCTAACATAAAATAAAATAACATAACCTGAAGCATTCTGCTACTGATTTAGTAGGAACAGCAGTAGATATGTAATGCTACCATGTCAGGGTGGTTCAGCTGGTGGTTGCTTTTGCACCCAGAGGTGTCTGCATCACAACATGAGGTGCTACATCCCCAGAACATCTGCAAACCTTGCCCTGCCTTGAAGCCAAAATGAGCTGTGGTAAAATGCAGGCCCAATGCTCCTTATCAAACACAGGGGCTAAGGAAGATATGCTGTGGGCTTCCAGTGGTACAAGTAGTTCTGAGATTCTCAAAAAGTATCAGATAAAATGAATTAAATTATGTAAGTGAAAAGGCAATGATTTCACTGGACAGGTGTTAAATAAGTGCTTTCTATGCAGCTGTACTTTCTGATTTTCAGTGCAAGTGCTGTTGTATATAACACAGAGGCTAAGCACGCTCCAAGCACCTTGTGCAGGTGCAGCAGTGGGGAGGCAGGACGGAGGCAGCCCCACCACAGTCTCCTCCACGCAGTCTCCCCACGCTCACCAGCTGGCCGCCGGGCTGCTTGGCCTCCTGGCAGAAGTGTGTGGCTTCTGCCATACTTGTAAAGTAACCGCTTTCTTCTCTAGACAGCAACACACAGGCTGCTGGGCCCAGAGTCCAAAATCACCATGAACACCTCGCTCACAATCCTACATGCTTATCTACCCACACATCCGCCTTCCTCAGATCAATGCCAAGGTAGATGAAGCAACCTCGACCATAATTTGAAAAGTGTTCAATAAGTCAGACTTATGAACCTCCTGCAGCTCTTCCTGTGCAAGGAATGATGTGTTTTCTTTAGGAAATTAATTCTGATTTGAACTCAGCTAAAATGTGTACATTAACACCCTCTATTACAGAATAAGGGAAGAGCTACTAGTGCTGAGGTTTTGAGTAATATGTAATGATGCTACTTTTATGTTTCTTTCTGTAGATGTGCAGTGAAGAACAACAACTCAGAAAGCCATCATAATGTATAAATAACTTAACTGAAAATGTTACAAAAGCTCTATTGTACTTTGGCAGAGAAGCGCTATGAAGCACAGGGATCTTCTATCGTCCTTCAGAAAAATAAGAAACTGGGCCATATAACAAATAGACTTTTCTCTATGTATTGGACACCCAGGGATTGCTTAGAAACTCCTCTGTATTAAACAGTGGATTAAACAATTCCAGAGCACAATAGGCTCAGCAAATGCAATTGTGCGCTTTGTTCTAATAGGAGACTTTTTGTTCTTTGACTATCACATCCTTTGTGTATTTCACTGAGTAGCTGTAGGGGAAGGTGCATTTTCTTCAGCAGAATTTAGGGTAAGAACGTCATGATATTTTCAAATGAGTCAAGCTTCGTCAAAGGACAATACTGAACTCTTTCTCTAACAAGGAAGAAAGGATCAGGACAGAATATTTTCAGAATCCTAATTAGTGCATCTGGCCAGATTTTACAAGTCCTTCTACAAGTCTTAGGCATGGAAAAAAAAATCCCCTTACTAATTCTCTCTTACTAATGGGTTTTCAATGTCTTCAGCCTTGCCACAGTGGACTGATGAGTATAAAAGAGAGTATTAATACAGTTCTGTGTGGGTAAAACCTTGCTAAAATTGGTACAGCAATTATATAGACAGTATATATATCTATATTTGTTTGTTTCAGTTTTGTGAAGGTATATGTGTGCCTCCAATAGCGTAGATAAATTTCTTCTTCTGGATTTAGTTATGCTATTAGCAGATATTACAGTCTTTAGCTGTTTGATACCACCCACCAGCTGGGACTTATAGCCTTCACAGCCCTGCCAAAGAAATAGTAGGTGTGAGCACTCCCTAATCCGTTTTGGGCAGAATTAGCCCTACTAATAAAAACTGCCTTTTCAAACAGCAAAATTAACCTGGGTGACCTTGTGTGAGGAGGATGGCTGTGTTCTCACATGGAGTTCTCCATCATTACAGTTGTGAGATTGGAAAAAGGCAAGAGGTAGGAGGTGACAATTTAACTCTCCTTACTGTCTGAAAAATGAACAGCCTAAAAGAAAGTGTGAGAGAAAAGCAACAGAGTGAGAAAGAAGGCAGAAAAGAAACATGAGATGCACTGATGGGAAGAGCAGTGATACAGGCCTAAGGAGCAAGGATGAGGCTTGGGCCAGGCTGAGTTGGAGCTAGCAGCGAGGAAACTGCTCTCTGCTGCTGAGTCTTCCTGTGCTGGGGAGGAAGTACTTCATGCATCTTTAATGAACAAACAAGACTGTATTAAAACATTTGCTTGGCTCCGACTTGATTTTTCCCCTTAAGTGAAACAGGATGTAAAAGCTCTGTCTAATCACACCAATCAAAATAGGCAATGGTAGCCATGTCCCTTCTTGAGAAAGTCAAATGTACCCAGTACTGGCACTGTGGTTTAATCCTTAACACTGTGATGTATGACACTACCATGGAATGCAGCAAAAATTCTCTATTTGATTTTAGTGGGTTTATTCCACAACATCAACCTCAAACATTGGGAAGCATTAAAGGTACACCCTGCAGCACAGGCATGGATGAAAAGTAGGTTGTGGGTCTTTGCCTGAGGAGCTTTGGTGGGTTGTTCTGTCAGACCATAAGTTGTAGTGCTCCTTGGCTGTTCTTTTTGTCCCCAGTCCCAAATGGGACCAGGATCTGCCTTTTCTTCAGCTGCCCCAAGCGACCTTTCCTGGTAGCTGGAACTGAAAGACAAGGGTGTGAACCAAACACAAGGGTGTGAACCAAGGTAGCTGGGCCACTGGTACAATCTCCTAATTCATTGCTCTGCTATAGCTGAAAGTCCAACAAAAGGTCAGGGCAGACACCTGGGCATTACAGTACCTTAAACAGCCACAGCTGAGGCTGCCAGTGTGTTTAACCAGCAGGACTACCTAAAAAGATCCTTTTGACCAGCACCAGGGAACTTATGATGGCTTTGCGGAAAAAGCATGGAGGAGAAAGAGTGCTTTCTGCACTTTTTAAAGCTGCTTTATTTTCTATTACATACTTTGAAGTTTTTTCTAAAACCAGTTTGGAGTGTAAGCATAGGTTAATCACATTTAAGAAGAGATCCATGTAACAGTGTGATGTGATACTGTCTGTAAAAATCCTTTCCTTTTCTGGAAAGGGAGGGGTGAGAAAAGGGAGAATTAATTCTGTGTCCCTTTGCACATTATGTCTACAAACTATCATATATTTGAAAATTCAGGGTACCACTAGTAGAACTGAGTATAGGTGGGATTTGCATCCCTTCTGAAGAAAGGAGGTGAAACAACACATGCAGAGATTTTAACCTGACAGTTTCATCTGCAATATTAATTACAACGAAACCATCACAAAGATAGCGTTCTGCAGTTCTGCGCTGCTGGAAAATGTACAGGTTTCCATTTCAGTAATACTTCCTTCTAAAAGTAAGCCCTATTCATGCCAAGCATCTGTTTTAATTTGGTTCCTTTTTGATGTCAAATTACTCAAGCTGGATGAAAATCACTGCAGAAAGGCTAACATTATTTAAAAAGGACATAGTATAATTTTACATTTAAGATGTCTCCAAGGAGAACTAGTCCAAGCCTAATAGTTTCTGAGGGACTATTCACTGTGCTATTAGTTTTGATTAGCTCCAGAGTTTCATTCCCCCCCATCCATGCTTAAATCTTTCAGCAAAATAGTGAAATGAATATTAAAAGAAACAGGCCTAATTAGCAATTCTTCTCTGAAATAAGCACTGGCCATCAGATCAAGCTGTGCGGGTGAGACGTTAAACTTTCTGCACACAGAGCATGCCCACTCACTGCCACTGTTTGCCGACTTAGCACTCCTAAGCTGTCAGCTGGCACTGTAGTACTTCTTAA